GTGTTATACTCTGGCAGAATATTTGTCTACATTTATTCTGTCCTGAGACTTTGCAGGAGACTGAGATTAAGGGCAGTGGACTGGTTAATCTAGTGGAGGAAATTTCAAGGCAGCCCAACATTCAGACTGTGGCATGGGTCCTGCTGGCTGCCATTAATAAGATCTACAGTGAAAATTAAGGAGAAAAAAATCAGATGTGAAAAGTTTCCAGTTTCATTAGAAAGGAAGCACCTGCAAAGTTAGGGCAAAAGGGAAGTGTGTTGGCTTAAAATATTAGCATTTTTTAAAGAGCAGTAGTTTGCATCAGGACAATAGGAAACATGCTTTGAAGGCATCTCAGGAATCAGACCCCACCCTTCCTAAACTCAAATTTTCAAAACTGTGATACTTTCACTTGTTAAAACAGGCCCTACCCACCCCCACAGCCCCTCCCCTACACTTGAGAAGGGCAGTACTCTGGGATTCCTTTCATCATGCTCAGTCATCTAGTCACTCAAAGGCCACTACAACCATAACACAAAGGGACCTGGGTACCACTCAAGCTGGTAACTGACCTTGATTTCACCCATATGGTGCTGGTTTTATAGATATACAAAACTTCAAGAGTTCCTGGGTCACTGAGGCTTCCACTCAGATTTCAGAAGAAGGCCTAGGAGGCTAGGCAGTGTGCCCCTGAGAGGGCAGTGTGTGAAGGTTTGAGAATGAAGCTGAAAGTGCAGGGGAGATTCCAGGAATGTGGACCTGTCTGCTGAGCAAAGCTGCAGGCAATAAGTGAAACCACCATAAATGAGAAGCCATGAGGGCTACAACCGGCAGAGCTGTAGGGGCCAAGCCATCCAAGACCTGTGAGTTCACATGGAGCTACAAGATTTAATGGTTGCCCTGGTGGATTTTGGTCTTGTTTTTGTCTCATTCCTTTCTATTCCCCTATTCTTTTTTGGAATGAGTATATTTTTTACCCTGTGTCATTGTATGTTGAAAATATTTAACTTGGGCCACAGTGGGGTCAGCTGGCGGGTGAGCTGCTCGAGTGGAGATCCGAGCCGGTGGTGGGCACTGGCGACAAGGATGGCACAGGCCAGGCCGGCGTGGGCGCTGCTACTGGCGATCTGGGTGGTCCTGCCAAATTGGCTGTCCCCTGCAAAGGTCTCCTCGCTCATCGAAAGAATATCTGACCCCAAGGACTTGAAGAAACTTCTCAGGACCCAGAATAACATGCTGGTGCTTTACTCTAAATCTGAGGCAGCAGCTGAACATCATCTCAGGTTCTTGTCCACTGTGGCCCAGGCAGTGAAAGGGCAAGGCACCATCTGCTGGGTGAACTGTGGTGACACAGGCAGTAGAAAATTATGCAAGATGAAAGTTGACCTCAACCCAAAGGACAAAAAGGTCAAGTTATTCCATTACCAGGATGGTGCATTTCACACGGAATATAATCGAGCTGTGACACTAAAGTCTGTAGTAGCCTTTTTGAAGGATCCAAAAGGGCCCCCACTGTGGGAAGAAGATCCTGGAGCCAAAGATGTTGTCCAAGTTGACAATGAAAAGGACTTCAGACGGCTCCTGAAGAAGGAAGAGAAGCTGCTCCTCATGATGTTTTATGCCCCTTGGTGTGGTGTGTGCAAGAGGATAATGCCACATTTCCAGAAGGCTGAGACCCAGCTACGAGGCCACTTTGTGCTGGCTGGGATGAACGTCTACCCCTCTGAATTTGAAAACATCAAGGAGGAGTACAACGTGCACGGCTACCCCACCATCTGCTATTTTGAGAAAGGGCACTTTCTGTTCCAGTATGATAACTACGGGTCCACAGCCGAGGACATTGTGGAGTGGCTGAAGAATCTGCAGCTGCCACAGCCCCAGGTCCCTGAGACTCCCTGGGCAGATGAGGGCAGCTCCATTTATCACCTGACCGATGGAAACTTTGACCAGTTTGGGAAGGAGCACTCCTCTGTCCTCATCATGTTCCACGCCCCATGGTGTGGACACTGTAAGAAAATGAAGCCAGAGTTCAAGAGTGCAGCAGAAGTTCTTCATGGAGAAGCAGAGAGCTCTGGTGTCCTTGCAGCTGTCAGTGCCACTGTCAACAAGGCCCTGGCAGAAAGATTCCACATCTCAGAGTTCCCAACATTGAAGTATTTTAAGAATGGAGAGAAATATGCAGTGCCTGCACTCAGAACAAAGAAGTTTATTGAGTGGATCCAGAACCCCAAGTCTCCCCTGCCACCAGAGCCCACATGGAAAGAACAGCAGACAAATGTGTTCCATCTGGCTGGGGACAACTTCCAGGACACCCTGAAGAAGAAGAAACACACCTTGGTCAAGTTCTATGCCCCTTGGTGTCCACACTGTAAGAAGGTCATCCCACACTTTACTGCTGCTGCCGATGCCTTCGAAGATGACCAAAAGATTGCCTGTGGAGCCATGGACTGTGTCAAAGACGGGAACCAGGACCTGTGTCAGCAGGAATCTGTGAAGGCCTACCCCACTTTCCACTACTACCACTACGGAAAATTTGCCGAGAAGTACGATGGCGATCTGACGGAGTTGGCATTTACCAATTTTATTCAAACCCTCCGGGAGGGAGACCTAGAGAAACTAGGAAAAAGGAAGGAGGAGTTGTACTTTCTGCCTCAGAGAAAGCTTTCCCATTACACTGTGAATGATACCTGTTTTGTTGTTCTTTCTGAATTTCCACATGTTCTGAAGACAAAGTTTTTTATAGCTGCTTCTGGCCTTTTGTACAATTTTGAAATAAAATCAAACCATTAAAAAAAAAAGAAAATATTTAACTTTTTTCTTTTAAACTGGGGCCAACAGCTAAGAGTTTGATTTGAATTTCAGAGGAGACTTTGGACTTGGGCTTTTCAGCAGTGTAGAAACTGTGAAGACTTTGGTGACTTCTAGTGATGGATTAAACACATTTTGCATAGTGAAATGGACATGAGTCTTTTGGGAACCAGGGTCAGAACGTTATGCTTTAGATCTAAAATATGCCCCCAAATTCTCATGTGTGCGAAGGTGATTTGATCATGTGGCTGCTATACTCATCAGTGGATTTATCCATCGATGAGTTCAAGCTAAATATGCTCCTAGGCAAGCGAGCCTGGTTGGAGGTGAGCCCCTGGGGGCGAGGCCTGGAAGGCCATACTCTTGTCTCTGGCTCCTTTCTTGCTCTGTTTCTTGGCTGCCATGGGTTGAGCACCTTTACCTCTGCCACCAGTTTCTGTCTCGCAGCTGACCAAGAACTAAAACCATGAGCAGGAATAAACTTCTCCTCCTTTAAATTGTGGGTGTTGGGGTTTTGTCCTAGCAAGGAAAGTGACTAAGACATGTTCCCATTCCCTTAATGAATGTTTTTTAAATGCAAAGCTTTCAAAGTATTTTCTGTGCTTTCTTATCTTATGAATCATGGCATTTCTTATCTTTTTAACCAGGCTCTTATAGGCATTCATTATGTACTGCATAGGTGTACAAAACTCTCAACCAAAATGCTTGCAACCAGATGTTTTTAGTTTTGTAAAGGCACTGTAGTGCTTAGATGATATATTCATCAGAAAAGGATTTGTAATGAACACATTATTTCTGCAGCAAAATAATTTCACACAGATAAGAATGAAGCTCATAAGCAGCCTATCAATTCAGATCAGTTGTTGCTAACAAACAGGTGCAAGTCAAATGGAATTTGAAAGCAAACAAATAAAACAATAACTTTAAAAAATAAATCCTTTGATTAGACATTGCAGCTAAGACATAGTGCAGCTGAGTAGTGGAGTGAAAAGGGGTAACTGATTTGTTTGCCATGAGCATGGTGGCCCTCAATTGCTACCACACTGAGAGCTTAACATCTCTCTTGAACTCTTTCTGTCTCCTTTGTATAGTCTGGATCCTTCCATTCCTTTATAGATGAGACCTCCTCTGTCAGCCTTCCTGCCCTGATAATTTATTACTTGTAACCTTCTATGACTTTAAAAAGAAATAATTAAGGGGCTGGGGATTTAGCTCAGTAGTTCTGCTGCCTGTCTTGCAAGCTCAAGGTCCTGAGTTCGATCCCCAGTACCAAAAGAGAGAGAGAGAGGGAGAGAGAGAGAGAATTAAGTAATTATAGTCACATATGAAACTAGAATACGTAGATTTTACACAGACTTAAGTCAAAGTCAGCATATGGTAAGATATATAAATTTTGCTCACATCTGTGACAACATTTATTTCAATGATGTTAGAGTCTTTGTTTGCCTTGGCAACTCGTAGTGATGGATTAAACACATTTTACATAATGAGATGGACACGAGTCTGGGGGCCAGGGGCAGAATGTTCTTGCCTGTCACAAGTTTTGAGATTGTTACCTTTTAAAAATTAACTAATTCCCTTTGTGGGACTGCATAACCTTTGTTCCTTTTTCTCCAGCCCCATTGTGATTAAAATGTGAGTTAATGGATGGAGATGCTTGTTAGTCTAGGGACGCTAGATAGGGATCTGTAACAGACCTAGAGTCCCAGAGTAAACTACTCAACTCTTTGTTTATCCGGAACTGATATTTCAGGCACCACAATTGTTAGAACAAGCTGCAGATGTCTGCTGACCATCAATATGTGACAGTCGACCACTAACCTTTGTCCCCTTTTCTTTAATATGTTAACTTCCCCCTCAACCCCCTATAAAAACAGCCTTGGATTCTGAGCCAGTTGCCTCTCTAAGCTATTTTGCTTTGGGAGTGCCGTCTGGCCAGACTAATAAAGGTCTTTTTCCAACTTGTCCGGTGTGTTCCTTCCCGGGTGTTCTTCGCTGTAGTCAGCTCCTTGGAGCGTTTGGTAAGGCTCTTGGTCTTACATTCTGAAGGCACCGCTGGGATTCCTGGGTGTGCTTCACTAGTCAGCTCCTTGGAGCGTTTGGTAAGGCTCTTGGTCTTACATTCTGAAGGCACCGCTGGGATTCCTGGGTGTGCTTCACTAGTCAGCTCCTCGGAGCATTTGGTAAGGCTCTCAGTCTTACATTCTGAAGGCACCGCTGGGATTCCTGGGTGTGCTTCACTAGTCAGCTCCTCGGAGCGTTTGGTAAGGCCCCCGGTCTTACACCTTCTCTAAGAAAGAGAGAAAATTTACCATCTCATTCTACAGTTGTCTCCTACTTTCAGGGAAAGATATCTTATGAAGTCAGTTTTTTCTGATATATATATAGAGATGACATTTTGATCATAAGAAAATAAGCTAAGGCCTAAAATTCATTCACTCTTACACAAAAATAGGTGATAATGAATATTAATGTATTTCTAAAACTTCAATATTACAGTCTCAGGCTGGCATTTGTAAACAATTAAGGTCAATGACCAATATTTTTCTTCTCTATTAAACCTGCAAAACCTTCCTTATTCTGTCCTCACACTATGCACTTAATCCTCCTTTATTAGTGCTCCCAGCATGGGCCATCCCACAGCTCCGGTAAGTAGACCCCTTCAGTGACATTGCCCCCACAGCCCACATTTACACTACAACACCTAAGAAATCTGGGGAGGCATAGAGGGGCACAACCAGAAATCAATACAGGAGAGTACATGATTCATGGTTCCAGGAGGGAAGTAGCCAGGGCTGGTAAATCATCACTACCAAGTGCTAAAAGAGCAAGGTGGTAAAAATCGAAGTCTAGAAAAACAGTGAGGGCTGCAGGAAACAAGAGACCCAACCAGGTGACTCAAGCATTTTCTTATTCATCTTAAGGGCTTCTGACTCACTCATTCAGCCAAGGCCTAGGAATCTGCCAAGAACAGGGATAGACCCTGGGGATAGAAAAGTGAGAACAAGGTGATCCCCACCCTTCAGGGCTTGCAGTTTAGCAATCAGACATAAACAATGACAACCAAACACCATGTTGTAACCATACAACAACATAACGTCAGGAGCCTCTGAGTGCTGAGAAACAAGTGCCCACGTGTGCTGTGCAAAGTCAGGAGTGGCCTCCCAGAGACTCGCTCAGCTGACTTTTGCTGAATCCCTTCCAACCTCCATGCTGTTCCCGGAGCACACTGGCATGCTTCCACCAAGCACCTTAGCACTCACTGCTCCCTTGCGTGGAATGCCCTTCACCTTCCAAGTAGCAGGGGGCTCACTCCCAGACTTCCTCCAGGGCTCAGCTCAAATGCTACATCAGAGGAGAAGATTTCTCAGAGGACCACCATGTAAACTGCATTCCCAGGCCCCCTACACTTTCTCTTTCTATTGCATTACAATGCCTTTTATCCCACAGCACTTATCACAATCTGAACATCTTCATAATTTATTGTCTGTTTTCCTCATGTAAATTCTGTGGAGTGGTGATTTGTCACTTTTGTTTATTGCTGTATCCTCAGTGCAGGGCATAGTGGAATGAATGGATGAAGGAAGAGAAATTAAAGCTGAGTTATGAAGAATATGTATGAAGGAACAAGCAAAGAGTGGGGAAGTACACAGAATGTACATGCACAAGGATAATGCAAGAGCCAAGGCACCTTTGAAGGAATTTAAAGAGGAAAATAATACTATCTGTGATTTGCACAGCAGAGATTTACATTAACTACTGCTAAATAAATGAGCAAGTGAATCCATGATTGAATTAATGATCAGGGTTGTACATTAGAAAGTGTGTAAGGTTAGAGTGGTGGAAAAGAAGGTAGGGTGGAGTCAACTTTGAAGACTGGTCTTCTATAAAGAGAAAAGTAATGAAGGCTTGGATGGGAAAGGTGGGACTAGAGAACCCATGGAGTTGCCATCTGATGGAACATGTAGGGTCAGTGAATGAGGAGGATGCTAATCCACGAGTCACAGGGGTGGCAGTGCTACTGCCTACAGTCCAACCAGGCTTGGTGAAAGGCGGCTGCAGTCAGGAGATAATCTATCTGTGTGGGATATTCCAGAGTGGAACTGCCTTTTTAACAGATGGAGACAACTCAGGTAGCTGAGAGTCTAGACTTACAAATAAAGTCCAGACAGAAGACAGGTTTGAAATTCATGCATGCCTTCATCTTCAAGATTATATATTAAAACGAGGAGACAAAATATCATGACCATTTAAGAGACCAAGAGGTAGGGATGGGCAAAGAATGCTGCACACACAAAAAAATGGAGAAGCAGCTAAGAGGAAGAGGAGAACAGATGTCTGAGCTCCGTGAGAATGGACACCATCATGGCATGCTCATCATGGTAGCCCCAGCGTCCTGGCTCTTGGAAAAGCCGTATGTGTAGGGGGATAAAAGATCTAGGGGAAGAAGGAAAGAAAGAGGGGTAGAAGGAAGCCTGGAACTGGTCAACAGTATGATAAAAGAAATATAATATAATATAAAAGAACAATAGAAATAGCTACAAATTCAAAGTGTATTTTATTAGAGGACTGGAACACACCAGACCCTGTTAAAGGGAGTTGACAGGGCTTAACTTATTCAACTCTTGCAACAACACTGTGAAGTAGAGATTATTATTATCATCTCCAATTTATAGATGAGAAAGCCAGACCAGAGGCTGGAACTTGCCCATGTTACACACATGTCAATGAGAGGCAAAAGCTAAAGCCCAGCTGTCCTGCTCCGAAGCCACATAGCACAGATGGAAGAGAGGGCACAGAGAGCACTGAAGGAAGGCCAAGGTCAAGGGAAGAGCTGAGCTGTGGCCAGAAAGATAAAAGGAAGGTGAGGAAATGCTGGCTGCTGTTGGAAGGAGGCTAGCTGGGAAAAAAGAAAAATAGAATAGTAGCTGGAAGGGAGCAGAGGGCTGATGAGCTGTTTTGTGTTTTTAATGAGAAGGTCTGGAACATGTGAACTCAATAGATTCTGTTTACATCACACTCCAGAATTGCTAAGGAAAAACGAGGGGGTTGAATAAAAAGACAAGCAGGTTGCTTCCACCTCTGATTCTACTACTTCACAACTTTGAAATTCTTTCTCAGCAAAGCCAGATGGAGATTTCATTTGATAAAATGAGTTGAAAAAAAGTCATTCAATACACTTTAAAAGAGATATTTAAATAAAAACCTAAAGGTTATACTATTTTATCATTTGAATCTGGAATGTTGACCCACCCACCCGCTCAGTACTGGGGATTAAACTTAGGACCTTCACATTGAGCTACACCCAGCCCTTTTTTATCTTTTATTGTGAGAAAGGGTCTCACTAAATTTCCCAGCCTGATCTTTAATTTGCAATCCTGTCTCACCCTCCTAAAGTTCTGGGATTAAAGGCTTGCACCACCCCAAATGCTCATATGTTGAAGACTTGCACCCCAAGCTAGTGGCACTAGTGGGAGGTAGTAGAAACTTCAGGAGGTAAGGCCTCATTGGAGGAGGTGGGGGTGGGGGGTGCACCTTTGAAGAATATATTTTGTTCCAGGCCTTCTCCTCTCTCAAACTCTGCTTCCTGTTGGCATAAAGTGAACAGATTTGCCCCACTAATTTTGAGGCAATGATGTTCTGCTTCACCTCAGGCCCAGAAACAATGGAGCCAGCTGACCATGGACTGACACCTCTAAAACAGTGAACCAAAACACATTTTCCCATTCAAGTTGTTTATCGCAGGTATCGTGACACAATGACAGAAAATTGATTAACATATAATTCAGGAGGATTTCTCCATCCTGGTCTATGGCTTATCCTTATTAGGAACTTAAAGGTTTTCCTGTCATCAGATTTGGCCTGAAGATATGTTTCTGCTTTCCTTTTTGCAGTTAAGAAAGAATCAAAGTATTCTGAGTTCATACCTTTTTGCTCAATTGCCTTTTCCCCTTTTTCTTTGCCTCTTCTTCCACATGCGGAAGAAAAGTTGAGTACAGGAAGTAATAGAAAAGTCATAATGATTTTTTTTTTGCAATATGTCCTAAACTAGTGTAATCTGTAGAACTGTCTCCTACAATTCTTATGCATCCCTCAGCTTTTCTTCCAACCTGAAATATTTCTCTTATACAAAACTTCTTCCTTCTTCCTGTAAATAATGGATGCATATCAGTCCCAGAAATTATACCAGAACTCCATTTTGCCTCTATGCCACCACATGGAGCTCTTTTCTCAGCGCAATCTTTCAGTTACCAAATTCCTATTTTTTCATCCTTTTTTGCATTTTAAAATTTCCAGATACTCCTTTTTCTATTCACATAATGTCAGTTTTCAACAACCCCTTAGAAAGGCTTTGAGATGGGGTGAGATTATCTGCAAAAAAATACATAAATCTTTTTTTCTGGCTTTGGGATGTATTTTCACACTTACCAGAATTGCTACATACCCAGTTTTGGAAATTCACAACACTTCAAACAAAGTGAAGTTATACTTGGAAGGCATATCTCAAAAGGAATTAGAAAGCGATCCACTCACAAATTTTTGCTCCTTGCTTATTTCTATTCTGGGCATTGCTCCATGCAATGCATGAATAGCATTATCTCTTCAACAAATGCAAATAGTCTTCATAGAAAGATCTTTATTTTTCTTTTCTAAGGTATAGCATCTTCCTCACTCACAAGTCCCTGGAGAACAGTGGTAATTAAAGTGTTTGGGGTTCGAAGGCATTCTTTCTAAAATTCCTGATGAGCTAGCTTCAGACAAGTATGAGAGTAAACAGAAGTGGTAATGATATCATAAGAAGCTTGGGTTATAATGCTAATAAATTGGAAGTAAGATGTGGCTGCTTAGGATCAGGAATTGATTCTACTCACATTTTCCCTAACACATGCAAATCCAGATCTCATCATTAATAATCATAGTTATTTTGGCAGGTGTATGTATGCAGCTGAGAGGAACATGGCATAAGTAGAGTCTCTGGCAGGGCCATAGTCTATACCAGAAGAGCACCTCATTATCAAGACATGTAAAGCACCTTGTGCCCACTGGCAAAATTTATCTAGAAATGAAAGTCTCAATATCTCCAAATGCCAATAATGATTTGCACTCTTTGTCTTTAGAGGTTGTGCTTTTAAAGCTATACAATATTGGCCCCGGGGATTTAGCTCAGTGGTTACGCCACCTGCCTTGGAAGCACAAGGACCAGAGTTCGATCCCTGGTACCAAAAAAAACAAAAGCTATACAATATTGCAGAATACTCAACTGTGATCTGGGACAACCTGTGTTCTTCT